AATCAAACCCAAGAAGAGACTGCTGGCTGAAGGGGTCCGACACCACTGGGTAATTGGCCCACAGGACAGCGGTGGAGGCTCTGCATGTCGGAAGTTACCTTAAAAAAACCTTAAAAGCAGTTTTCTTTCCTAGCCCCTTAAAATACTACACACACCAAAAAAACCCCACGCAGCCGACCAAAACAGTTACTGCAATACCTGCAGCAACAGCCACCTCGTCTCCACATTGCTTCTCTGTCAGAAATTTTTACAACAGAGAACTCTTCAGCAGGCCACAACACAGAGCAATGGTGCTACCCTGGCTGAACGCAGCTGGGCAAGTCCTAGAAGACTCCAACCACACACCTCTACATAAGCTTTGATGTCTCATCTAAGTAAACAGATTTTCTTAAGAGCGCCTCAGGTTCCTCCCTTTATCTTCACGAAAACAGCAATATTTATCCACCATCCTCCACAAAAACACCACCACCACAACCCTGAGTACAACAACTAAACATACATACTACTGTGCTTCACATTCTGAGCTACAACTTTGCTTCCTGAGCTACACACTTTCATCTCCACCAAGCAAGCCTACACGTATCAACAGCAAGTGCAGAGGATGCACGTGCAGCACAGCTGGAAGCCTTAACTACATCAGTACCTTTGTCAAGAAACCCAGTAGTTTTTACAAGCAATTTACTGTACTCATTTAAAAGCACTTACTTGCAATCCCAGGTTAAAATAATACCTCAAGACCTTTGTATCTGAAATTAAAGGATATGACATTAAAGAGCAGAAAAGTATAAACCAAGAAGCAACAGAAATTTACACACATTAAGAGCATTTTAAGTTACTCCTACTTAATGAATGTTTTAGCACTACTTTTTCTTTAAAGTTTTGAGGGTAAAGAATACATCTTAAATATAAAAAGTTGTTAAAACTAGTTTGTCTTTTTAAGTTAATCCCCTCAGATACCTGCACAATAGCTGACCACTTGCCTGACCAAGTTATTACAAAACTTCAACAATTACAGTAGCTTTAATTTTCATTTATTCACCTTGATTAATCGAGTGATAATTGTCAGTGTTGTTACAACTCTCCACTGTCTAAGCGACTAGGACTTTAGCAATTCCGTGTGCCTATGATGGCTGGGTTTGCAGACAAAAAACTATTTCAGCAAGTAAGAGTTTAATTATAAGCCCCTTCAAAAAAATCACGCTTTAATACTGTGATGCAGTTCTGCAACTGTGCATGAGAAAAATTCTCGATTTCTCAGAGATCCAAACACAGATTTGTTTTAAAGGCTCAGGAAGAACAAGTCCTGTTCCACAGCGGTAGGTGTGCATGTGCGTGCACACACACAGACTTTGCTGCAGAGAGGCACAGCGTCAAACGCAAACCCCAAGAGTTCTGAAATCTGCTTCATGGCAGCGATAACACTACAAAGGAGGAGCTGGGAGACTGAAGTGACAAACTGATACTGGAGAGACTGACGTCTGTGGAATGCTGGAACAGAAGCCAGTACAGTAGGAGACCAGTTTTTGTTTATATTCCGCTTTTAGATGTCTAGAAATCAAGTCAGTCTTCAGGAAAACACGACTACCTTATGACGCCACAGCTAAGCCAAAGAAAGTTAACTACACTGACACGAAAATACAAAGACCACGCTGACGACTGATACAAATCTCACCTGACAACGCACCAGGACTAAAGCACGAGAACATTTTTCCTGCACTGGTGGGAAGCTCTGCTCAAGCCTGAACCCTGCTGCAGGCTCTGGAACACGGCATCACCAAGCGGTCTTTACCAACAGCTCCTTCAAATACGAGGGCACAGCCAAGGGTCGGACACCTGAGGTCACCACGTCAATAAACACGTTGCACAAGCCCTAAGGCTCCATAAAATAAAGATCCAAGAGACTCTGAAAATCGCAACAAACGCAGAAGTACCAAGGAATACTAAGGCACGCGGCAGGTTTTCCTCCCAAGCCCAGGGCTTCAGCCTGTCAACAGTCACACTCCCAGTCTACACCAGGCCTGCAAGGATCTGCAGCAAAGTGCACAGAGCTCGAGGCCAAGTACACCAACGTACTTCATCCTGCCTCTCCATTTCTGAAGTTAAAGGCCACAGAGATTATACTACAGCTGTGTGACAACATGAACACCACATGCAAATCCTTAATAACTGCCAACCAAAACATCCTTCAAAACATTTCTACAGTCTATGCCAAGGAGGACACGGCCAATGTTCTGTGGAGTGACTCAGCTGAAGAGCTACAGGCAGGGGCTGAAGAGGGTATTAATCCCCCCCCACTCCAGATTCTTGTCAGTACACTTCACACCCAGTTCTCCCAAGTGCTAAAATGCTCAGTTAAGGGCATTCAGTTAAAGCAGAAAATGTTAACTCGGACGCGTCCACAGTAGTGTCATCTAGAGCGATGCTACTGCAGCAGGGCAGCGGAACACAGAACATTCAAGATTAACAATAATACCAGGAATGGAGAGCACCCGCCAGAGAGTGGAGTCACTGCAGAGCACATTCGCAGTACCGGTGAAAGCACGAGGCCTTTGGACAGCCGTGCCATAGTGTTTTGGAACCTGCCTTTTTCCAGATGAACTTCTGACAAGACAAGCATGTTACGTGGAAAACGCAACTGAAAGAACCCATAGCATTTCAGCCCAAAGATGTTCTGCAGCCAACCAGATGTAGCTACCTGATCTGCAGGCATCAAGAGCACATTCGCAGTACCGGTGAAAGCACGAGGCCTTTGGACAGCCGTGCCATAGTGTTTTGGAACCTGCCTTTTTCCAGATGAACTTCTGACAAGACAAGCATGTTACGTGGAAAACGCAACTGAAAGAACCCATAGCATTTCAGCCCAAAGATGTTCTGCAGCCAACCAGATGTAGCTACCTGATCTGCAGGCATCAAGAGCAGCTCTTTATCTTATGTGAAATTAGCCCCCTACAATTAGTACATAGAGGAGAGTCCCATGCAGGGACAAGAGAGCTACTTTAGATGGCAAGACGTTGGAACAAGCATGAAACAATGTGCATTACTAAAATATTTTATGCTTCAAGTAATACATTATGGAATCTGTATGTATTTATAGATGGCTATTATAACAAGCTAGCTATGATGCACAGACTTTCAACAGATCCAGGGGATAGGAGATAACTAAAAAGCCTTCAACCAATGTGCAGAGCTACACCCGCTACGTGAAGAACAGTAACGTAAACAGGCAGCCTGCTCTGCACTGCCGCTCTTCAGAGCGGGCTACAGCTCACCTCTAGCTTGGCCTCACTGCTGCCAAAAATAGCTTCCCCCCATGCTCCCTGCCGGAGCAGGCAGAGACAGCTGGAGCTGTTGTACATGAGGCAGTGGCAACCCAGGTAACCGTAACTGAACGCCAGCTCCTACCCAGAGCATTTCTGCTCCAGGCTGGGCACTGCACATTAGGACAAGCTCAAGCTTGCTATGAAGAGGACAAGCAGGCTGAATAACCAAGTTCTTTTACAGCCTTAACCAGTATCTCAAGAGGAAAATTAACTGTAGGAAACATGGGTGAAGGGAGCTGCCATGAACTTCTGCCTTCTGAAAAGAACTTCCTAGGAAAGCATTTGACACTGATGGCGAAGTGGTGAGGGCGGGAAACCAAAGCAGAGACTTCCAATTCCCACACAACTCAAGGGCAACAGTCCCCTCCAAAACATGAAAGCAACAAGTCAGCAGTGAAGTTACAACTACTACGAAGTCATTTTAAGCCAAAGCAAGTGATACCTTTCTTTTTTGTTTCAACAGCCTTTTAGCATTTGCCTTGGATGGGTAGGAAAAATAAAAAACAGGAGGGGAAGATGTAACAGAAAACAAAGACATCCAGGTCCACAGCCATATTATGTACACTCTACCTGGCCTCCCTACAGAAGGGAAGGTTCTATGACCACGTGAACTGCTGTCTGTGGGGGAACTGCTGTTGTGACACTGGCTGGAGTGGAGGCAGCAGCATTTGAGGAGAAGCCTGTAGCTGGAGCAGCATAAACACCTGCTGAGGTTGAGACTGCTGCAGAGTTCACCATCACCTGGAACAGAGTCAGAGCATTCACTAGACTGCCTCTACACACACGTGAAAGATTTGTGTAATAAGTGTCTTTGCTGGGTTTCAGGGTCTCCAGCTCGCACCCACTTCTTGTTGATTTTGCACGTACAGGGCAGGTTTCTATCCAGGACACAGCCTGTGCAGACAGTCATGGGAAAGACCTGCAGTTCACATGCACAGGCTATTCAATGTTTTCTTCCTAAACTTAGCAACAAAGACACAGCCAGAGCTTTCCACTGCACTTCATTCCCATGCTGAAAGCTTCTGCTGCTCTCTCCTAGAAGGCTGGAGCAGCCTTAGCCCACGCAAGACAACTGCATTTCTTCAGCCCAGGCTGTTGGGTGACTTAATTGCCTGGAACATAACCTGCCAGTGATAAATGACCACTCATTTTCATGTGTTCAATGCTTTTATTTTGTGCTACCGGTGCAAATTAAACACCAAGGCTACCACCATTTGTGCAACAGCTTTCACAAAACAAATCTTACAAACATACAGCAATATACAACAGATCAAAACAGTATTCTTACACTTTTAAGAGTCATGAAACCTATGCAGAATGAAATTAGACAGAAGAAATACGGCTATTACACATATGTGACCACTAGGGGCAAAGAAGTTTTGTTTTGTGAAATCTGAGAAAGCCAACCTACTTCAAATCTTTTCATCCTCTAATGACCCTGTGCTCAATTTTTATCTGTACTTGTAATGGCAGCCTATTTCAGTGCTTAAACAAGAACCAGGTGTCCAAGTGTTCCAGTGTAACCCCTCAGAGGTACATGATGCAGCATTCCTTTAGTGATAGCATACGGTTTTACACATACTTCATGCAGTCAAATTCAAGCTTTGTGTTCCCTGCACTACGGTTTGTGTATATTCTTTTCCTATGCTTTTCTACATAATTGACTAAAACAACATCTCGTCAACTATCACTAGCATAAACCTAAAGAGAAACATGAAATCTGAATGCAGTTTAATCAACTGAACCAGCCCACTAAGACAAGAGAACATTTAGGAAACAACACTAACGTACAGCTGACAAACAAGAAACAAGAGAAACCAAGGGCAAGAAGTAAGCTTAGAGCTCCCAGATTTACATTCCTTGAGGCACGTCATGAGGTGCAGGGTTAGGTGAGGCAATATAGCCGACTTGGTGCAGTGGTCCAGAACTTACAGCATTAGCAATTGGCAGAGAATTTCCACAGGGTGGATTTACTGGATGCCAGGTACTAATACAGCGATAGGCAGGTACTAAAGAATCAAACCCAGGAAGAGACTGCTGGCTGAAGGGGTCCGACACCACTGGGTAATAAACTGGCCCATAGGACAGCGGTGGAGGCTCTGCATGTTGGAAGTTACCTTAAAAAACAGAACAAAATACACACGCTTACCATATTTTACCATACCTATGGCCTTTTTATGTAGGCTTTCATTACCATGAGCACAGCAGCATTTTGGTGGCCAAAAGGGAGAATCCATTTAGATGGGAATGTTATGCCCCTGTATGTTCCTCCTAACAGAGGGGTCAAAATCATTTGTGTCCTAAGTTAGACTCAAGGACAACCTGCTCATCTTGTCACTAATCCCTGTTCAAGAACTGCTTAGCAGCACTCTGCACTGGAGTGGCAGCTTTTTCAAGAGGGACCCAGGTAGAGAGGCAACATATTTTTCCCCATTTGATCTCTGACCATATGACACTAATTTATGCAAAAGAACCACCCTAGCTGAACAGGCTGAGGCATTATCAGAGCAAGAAGCCCATATGCACCTGAGCAAGTTTTGTTCTGATGCGCTCCTTCCCAACACTGGCTGTTTGCCATGTTCCATAGATTTTAATGAGCTAGGCATCTGACCTTTTTGACATATTTTTCCTCATTTAATACAATCCTCCTATTTACTGCCAAGTGTATCTACAAGCTTGTTACAAAGCTGTTAGGTGAAACTAAGTTTTGCTGTAAATTTTACGCCAGTAAGAGACACAACTAGCAATAAGGGCTACTCGAGAGATAACAGCTCAGCATGCTGAGCCTAAGACCAAGGTTTGCAACATCTTCCTTTGAAAAGTTCCCATGAAGCTGAAGTACTGATGCTCAGTGCCTGCCAAAACTCCTCTGTCTCCTTTACTTTAAATACAGGCATTCTGTTGTGATACCATGACTATTTGCCTACCAGTGAGCAAAGAGATTCCTTCACAGTTTTAGAAAAAGTTCTCCCAAGTCAAAGTTAGCACCCCTAGCAGAGGCTTAGAAAGTATTATTTCTTCCTTTTTATGCCTTTAGAAAGCCCTTGACACACTGGTGGCTACACCAGTGACTCTAGCATACTTTAAACGGTACTACAGATGGCAGAGAAACTTGTGATAACCCCTTACAAGGCTTAATCTGTCCTCCCAACCCATGCTTCTAGCAGGCAAGCAGCTCCTATGGAGCAGTCCTCCTCTGAAAACCTATTCCCTCATTAGTTGTGTATGTGGTCTTATACTCAAATACTAACCATTTGCAGGTGCTTCCAAAGGAACCTGGTGGACTTCAGTTCGCCCAGCATCAGCGTAGAGCTGAGGTACTGACTGATCTAGGACAGGAGTTGGCTCAGCATACGCTGGATAAACTTCCACAGGTGATGGTGGCAGCACTGGCTGTACATACACCATGGAAGGCCAATAGCTCTGATAATACTTTGAGAAATGGAAAAAAAAAACAAGGTCATGCATACAACCACATACTCTCCACCCCTCCTCAAACAACTACTAGTTTCAGGTCTAAATTTATAAGGAAGAGCATTTTTTCCTTCCTAGCCCCTTATGATAATACACACACCAAAAAACCCCAATACAGCCTACCAGAAAAGACACTGCAATACTTGCAGCAACAGCCACCTCAGCTCCACATTGCTTTTGTGTCAGAAACCTTTACAGAGAAGGAAGATTCCCACCTATGGGTTTTGTCATATTCAAAGAAATTTTTCCTATTTCTTCAGTTGAAGAAGCTAACATCACTTCTTTTACTTCCCTGAGCAGCAGCACTAGCCTGCCCGTGGCTGCTACTGCAGAGACAACTCTTCAGCAGAGCAAGAGTTCCCACAACACAGAGCAATGGTGCTACCCTGGCTGAACGCAGCTGGGCAAGTCCTAGAAGACTCCAACCACACACCTCTACATAAGCTTTGATGTCTCATCTAAGTAAACAGATTTTCTTAAGAGCGCCTCAGGTTCCTCCCTTTATCTTCACGAAAACAGCAATATTTATCCACGACAACTCTTCAGCAGAGCAAGAGTTCCCACAACACAGAGCAATGGTGCTACCCTGGCTGAACGCAGCTGGGCAAGTCCTAGAAGACTCCAACCACACACCTCTACATAAGCTTTGATGTCTCATCTAAGTAAACAGATTTTCTTAAGAGCGCCTCAGGTTCCTCCCTTTATCTTCACGAAAACAGCAATATTTATCCACCATCCTCCACAAAAACACCACCACCACAACCCTGAGTACAACAACTAAACATACATACTACTGTGCTTCACATTCTGAGCTACAACTTTGCTTCCTGAGCTACACACTTTCATCTCCACCAAGCAAGCCTACACGTATCAACAGCAAGTGCAGAGGATGCACGTGCAGCACAGCTGGAAGCCTTAACTACATCAGTACCTTTGTCAAGAAACCCAGTAGTTTTTACAAGCAATTTACTGTACTCATTTAAAAGCACTTACTTGCAATCCCAGGTTAAAATAATACCTCAAGACCTTTGTATCTGAAATTAAAGGATATGACATTAAAGAGCAGAAAAGTATAAACCAAGAAGCAACAGAAATTTACACACATTAAGAGCATTTTATTTTAAGTTACTCTTCCTTAACAAATAAGAGTACGTGCTGGTTCTGGCTGGGGTCGAGTTCGGTTTCTCCCCAGCAGCTGGCACGGGGCTGTGGTTTGGATCCGTGCTGGAAACAGCGTTGATAACCCCGGGATGTTTCCGTTCTCGCTGCGCAGTGCTCACACAGCGTCAAGGCCCTTCCTGCTCCTCACACCGCCCGCCAGCCAGTGGGCTGGGGGTGCGCGAGTGGGAGGGGACACAGCCGGACAGCTGACCCCAACCGACCAACGGGATAGCCCATACCGTGACGTCATGCTCAGCATATAAAGCTGGGGGAGGGAGGAGGAAGAGGGGGACGTTCAGAATGATGGCGTTTGTCTTCCCAAGTTTCTGTTACGTGTGCTGGAGCCCAGTTTCCTGGAGATGCCAGAACACCTGCCTGCTGATGGCGAGTACTGAATGAATTCCTTGTTTTCCTCTCCTTGAACACGTGGCTTTTGCTTTAACTGTAAAATCGTTTTTATCTCAAGCCATGAGTTTTCTCACTTCTAGCCTTCTGATTCCCTCCCCCATCTCTGAGGGGGAGGGAGCAAGCGGCTGTGTGGGGCTTAGTTGCCAGCTGGGGTTAAACCACGACAGAGTATTTCAGCACTATTTCTTTAAAGTTTTGAGGGTAAAGAATACATCTTGAATATAAAGATTTGTTAAAACTAGTTTGTCTTTTTAAAGTTAATCCCCTCAGATGTCTGTGCAATAGCTGACCACTTGCCTGACCAACTTATTATCAAACTTCAACGCTTACAGTAGCTTTAATTTTCATTTATTCACCTTGATTACTGAAGTGATAATTGTCAGTGTTGTTACAACTCTCCACTGTCTAAGCGACTAGGACTTTAGCAATTCCGTGTGCCTATGATGGCTGGGTTTGCAGACAAAAAAGTATTTCGGCAAGTAAGAATTTCATTATAAGCCCATACATAAAGTTGCCCACTAAAAGCACTGCCTGCCTGCCTCCCTACAGAAATGAGAAAGGGTTTGGAAGCACGCAGACAGGCAGGAGCAGCCTTCTCACACGCCAGTGACAATTCACCGCCAATGTACACACATTTTACACACACTCTGCATACATATTGCAAATACCCATACTAAGCTGGAATGCGAGACAACTCCACAGAGACTCCGGCTTCACACCGCTTCTGCCCAGCGTTAACTCTAGCTCTGCCACATCTCCAGCTTCAGGGCTTTTGTAAGCAATGACCACAGAGACGTGTCAATGGGGACAACGTACGCAGCAACCCTAGAGACCTTCTGACCTCGTCTGGGGATCACCCCAACTATTACAGCAAGTCAGAAAAGGGAGGGGGGGGAGGAATAAGGAAAATGCTCCCTCCTTCCCCCTTCTCGCAAGGCTACTCGGATCCCCGCTTTCTTGCAAGTTGTCTTTTACTCTGTCTGCCATCTACTGAGTATTTTGCCCCCAGGCACATACACGATATGCTGAAAATCAATGCCAGATGTGGGGAGGAACTTTGAAACCACTGTCCAAGAACAACAGGGTTTTGGACTTGGAAACGCATTTCCAACTGTCCAAAAACAGCGAAGCAGGTTTAAACCTTTCAAGCTGACCACTGAAAGGAAAGAAGAGAGCGCGTGCTTTAATCCTATGATGCAGTTCTGCAACCGTGCATGAGAAAAATTCTTGATTTCTCAGAGATCCAAACACAGATTTGTTTTAAAGGCTCAGGAAGAACAAGTCCTGTTCCACAGCGGTAGGTGTGCGTGTGTGTGCACACATAGACTTTGTTCAGTAATGCAGGGATCAGAAAGGGAAAGCAGGGAGACAACTGAAAAGGACTGAGCTGCTCAGGGCTTCAACTTAGCAGCACGCCCAGAGTTGCCATGTCTACCCCACCTTCTTACCACCTGCCCAATTCCCCCTGGAGTGGGGCCTTGGCTCTGCATCGCTGCCCTGTGCACACATTACCACACACGCAGACTTCCCCAGCCCTGCTCTGCTACGGTATTGCGTGTCCTGTTCTGCAGCAGAGAGGCACAGCGTCAAACACAAACCCCAAGAGTTCTGAAACGCTCGAGGATTTGTTCCTCTGCTGCTGTTGCACTTCTGATCAGGGCAACAATCCACACAGCTATTTCAGGAAGCACAC